TGGTGCTACCTCATCCATGGCGCCCCACACCAGCACGTAGTCCCCAGCATTCACCGCCAGCTCAGCTTCGGGGTTCTCGTTGGGGGAGTGTTGGAATGGGTCATACGAGTATCTGTTGGAATGGGGCGGATGTCAGCAAGGGTAAAGAAATTTGAGGTGGACATCAGTAAGGGAGGAGAAATTGGGGATGGATGTCAGTAAGGGAGAAATTTGTGCTTTAAGGGAGGAGTATAGGATCGGTGTCTGTAAAGGAGGAGGAATTTAGGGTGGGTGTCAATAAGAGAGGAGAAATCTAGGAGCAGATGTCAACAAAATAGGTGAAACTTGAAGCAGATGTAAGTAAGAGAGAAATTTGGAGCAGATGTTGGTAAGAGAAGAAAAAAATGGGAGTCAAAGACAAAAATGATAAAAAATAAATAGAAATGAGTAAAATCTTGAATATTGTTATGGCATGATATTAGGAAATGATATTCTGCTTTCAGTGTAAAAAATAACATCACTGTCTGGTGTAATGAGTTTATTGTTTGCTTGAGTTGGTAGCAAGAAAAACTTTGAGGTATGTAGATACCAATAATATATATGTGGTCTTGTTATACCTATCAAGTGCTGAACAAAATATATGAATAGATCTTATCAAAAGCAAGCACAAAAACAAAATAAAATGGTCACCATAAAACATCATATAACAACTGAATAATATAAGTTTATTAGAATTCTGAATTGGCTAAAGGAGTATCTACTGAATGAGATGAAAATAAAGAAAACCGAAAAAGCAAAAAGTCACCATAAAACGCACACATTATTGCAATACAGCCCTTCATACTTACCGATGACCATGTCACTATTATTTTAAATTAATAATTAATCAACTTCACTGTTATCTTTTTTTTAATTAATCTACTTCCTTCATGTCATATATAATGAACAATCCCACTTTCTGATCTTGCTTAATGTGCCATAATTCAATCATTCTCCTAGTATGGTAAATGTTGATCTATCTACTGCCCTACACAAGAAACAAGAAAAAGAAAGAAAAAAACAAGAAAATTATTGATAATGATGATGATAATGATCAAAACATTAATATCAATATAAGATTAATAACAAGAACAGTAAAAATAACAAAAATATTTTTTAAAATCCAACAATTCAAAAAGAAAAGAATCGGACATCCCATTCTAATCAACAAGTCAATGCTATTTGACCATTTATGTTCAAAACTCCTTTTTAATTAATCAAGATAAAATAACAAGAAAATGTAAACATACCTCCCCTACCATTCTACCAAACAACAACAAACCTACAAAACCCCACTGAATATCAGAACCCAATCGAAAACTCTTAACAGAAAAAAACACACACAAAACAAGAAATATATAAACATCACAACAGAACACGTCCCCCCACCCTCCGCCCCCAACCACAGCTCACGGCCGCACATCCTGACCTGGCAATATAGACGTGGCACCGCCCTTTCCCCGGGATCTCGAGGACATCCAGCACTCTGTTGTCGGTTTCATACTGTGGCATCAGCACTCCCGGGATGTTGCCGTTCACCAGGTTCTTGTCTGGGGGAAGAAGTGCCAAGAGGAGGGTTATTATGGGGGGAGAAAGTGCCAAGGGAGGGGGGAAATATGGGAAAGGAGATTATTGTGGAGTAGGAAGTGCCAAAAGGGGGGGAAGGGGTATTATGGGGGTAAAGTGCCAAGAGAGGGGGAGGGGGTATTATGGGGGAAGAAGTGCCAAGGGGAGGGGGAATATGGGAAAGGAAATTATTGTGGAGTAGGAAGTACCAAGGGGGAGGGGGTATTATGAGGGGAGAAAGTGCCAAGGGGAGGGAGAAATGTGGGAAAGGAGATTATTGTGGAGTAGGAAGTGCCAAGGGGGAGGGGAGGGGGTATTATGGGGGGAGAAAGTGCCAAGGGAAGGGAGAAATATGGGAAAGGAGATTATTTTTGAGTAGGAAGTGCCAAATGGGGAAGAAAGTGCCAAGGGGAGTGGAAAATATTACGGGGATGGGGTTCTTGCCTGGGGGAGGAAGTGTCAAGAGGGGGTTACATTTGTAAGGGGGGACAAAAAGAAACATTTATCCAAGGATTTTTAAGGCACATTTTGAAATGACTAAAAAAAATATATGTAAATGCAGATATAACAAATTTCTCAGAGAATTCAAGGTGATTCAAAGGACTATAAACATTGTTAATATCTGCAATTCAGGATTTTTGACATCTATATAATATATTGCAATAACAAACTTGATCCCATGTTGAAGCATTACATACTCAAATTCCTTTGAAATGCTGCTAAAAAAAATGCACATGAAATAGAAATCTGAAAAATGCAATAAAGAGTAATATTAGTCTTGCGTATAAATCTACCCAGTATTATGTCTGTACTTGGAACAAAAATAAATACATAAAATAAGCGGAAACTTCTAAAATACTAAAACATATTTAACAACCGCAAATTACCGCCACGTTCAATAAGGCGGCAAGAAAAATCAAGTTGCCAAAAAAGGAAAAAAAAAATACAATCATAAAAAAAAAATCGCAATCTGCTAAAACAAGAACAACTCAACCAACATAAACAAGAAGAAAAAAAAACAACAACAAACAACTTCAAGACAATAAAATCAAAACCAAAATAAACTATCTACAAAATCAACAGCGAAAAAAGGAAACATTTTTTTCCAACTCGTAAAAAAAAAAAAAAATCTTTTTTACAAAACGAAATACGCTACAAAAACAAAACAAACCTTTCATCAAACAAAGTCTACAAATCATCAAAACCATCAACATAAAGGAAAAAAAGAACTCAAAACTCAAAATAAAAACATGTATTTACACAACAAAGTCTTCTACAGCAAACAAGTGAGCATCAATGGCGCCAACTACTCGTACCGTCCTTGTCATAGCTCGTGGTGATGATGGTGGGCAGTGGGTTGACGCTGGTGAACACTGGGTTGCTGATGCCCCCTCCTGCCATGCCCACGCCCGTGCCCACCACGCCCACGCCGGTGAGGCCCGCCGACAGGCTGGCAGGGTTGGTCACGGAGAGAGGGTTTGTGCTGTGCAGGGAGACGCCTGGCAGGGAGGTGCCCCCCAGGAGGTTGGTCCCGGTGAGGCCGCCGAGGGAGGTCAGGCCCAGGCTGGGGTTGGCGCCGCCCATATGCGAGGCCAGCGTCGGGTCCATCAGGCCGAGGGGGTTGTTCCCTAAGGGGTTGCTGCCCAGGGGGTTATTACCTAAGGGGTTCACTATGGGGTTGGAGAGGTCCATTGCCGAGACGGTGGTGGTGACCGCCCCGGTGAGGGAGGTCATGCCCGTGCCGGCCATGGCGAAGGAGGAGGGCGTGATGCCCGCCATGGTGCGAGAGGCGAGGCCCAGAGAGGTGATCAAGTCGCTCGTCTTGAGGGAAGTCACTCCGGTCGAGGTCGTGCTCAACCCTGTGGCGAGAGAAGGGCGAGACCAAGGCGTGAGCGCTCGTGCTCCGGGCGCCGCGACGTCGCAGGGAAGTGCAATCAAGAAGCTTTTTGAAAAAAACTGTGAGATCTTCCTTTCATATTGTTTGGTTTGTTTAAAATAGATTGTTTGAAGATGAAAGAGATAAGAAAAACACTGAGATTGAAGAATCCATTTGCACGTTAAATTGATGTTTGACAAGAGGTCTATGATATAAAATTGGACCGTACCCATGCAAGTGAGGTCTGTTCATGCACAGCAAATGCTAGACCATGACGGGATTAGTATGGGTCATGCGAGACGTCAGAGTCTGTTCTGATAGACTAGTCACGCAGGTCTCAGATGGGTACAGAAAAAAAAGATATGTAAATATATATATATATGATGACGCTAAGAATGATGTCAGCTGCGAGACACAGACTCTCTGAAGGCCTCGAGCATACGAGCACCACCACTAGTTCCTCAAACCATTTACAGATTTTGCTTTATGTATTAACGTAAAAAAAAGACTCTCAGATAAAAATAGAAACTACTGACTCAGAACACAGGCCGCAACCTACAATGGTACAACATTCAAACCGTACACTAACGCTAAATCAAGCGAGATCTAAGATGCTTCTCAGCTTCTTCCTCGCCAGAGTCTCAAAAATCAGATGAAAGTAGAGGCCTACTTCATTTCAAAAAAGGAACAAAAATCATTAATTATTTACGGAACAAAACTTCTGGCCGGACCACGAGACGTGTACGGGAAGCTGCAGGGTACGAGCAGAAGGCAGACGGCCCGCGCTACGACTACGCTGCAGGTTTGTAAATCAACAACTCCATAAATCACAAAGTGTTCTAGTTTTGTTTTTTGCTTCTCTCTCTCTCATGTTCTAGAGCATTTTTTCACTCAAAAGACCGTTCTGGGACTCTAGCGGACTGAGCTTTGTATTTTTGGGCTTTCTCTCTTACGGTGCTGTTGGCTTTACGAACCCAGCCTTCTACAGGTGCAGGAGCGGGCCGCCCCAGGACGACTAAAGGGCCGTACAGACCCGCCTCTCATAGCTACCAACAGGAGCCAGAGTAGCAGATCCAGTAGCAGCTAAACCGCCACTTACTGTTCCGCTCAAAGCGAGCAAAGTGAGGCTTCGGCACTGTGAGAAAATTTTTGATACGGGACATTGCAGACACGGAGGAGGAGGAGGTGGTGGTGGTGGGTGGTTTGCCGACTGAGCGGTGGCGCCCAGGGTGTTGGGGGAGAACCCGCGTCCGAGAGGAGTGGTGAGCCCGTGAGCCCTGCCGCTGCTGCTGCTGCTGCTGCTGCTGCTGGCGCTGTTGGTACGCCTGGGGGTGGTTGGATGAGTGCGTCCCGTAATGGTGGCTCAGGGAGAGCGAGCTGTGGTGCTTCTGGTGGTGGTAGTGCTTGGAGTGGTGCTTGGGGTGGTGCTGGTGGTGGGGAGGGTAGGTGTGGTGGTGATAGGAAGGGTACGTGTGGTGGTGATGACGAGAGCCACCGTGGGACCCACTCATGAACACCCCCGGCGTGAACCCGTCCAAGAACTGCACGTGTTTGGCGTGGGGACCTGAAGACACGCGCAGGTCAAACATCACCCTCCTTCTTGCTTTTAACAGTGTCAAAAAGAATCAAAATCTGCTACTGGTGCGGCCCTTCCTCTCCCTCTCTAACCTGAGTCCTTTCCACGTCTACCAACAGTCCACTTTGCAACGGGTTTTGTGACAAGTAAACAAACTCTCCCCTGCCAGACTTCAGGTGGATCAGTCTTAGAGGGCCAGAACCTTTTTTTTTATGAATTTGACTTTTTTTTGGATTTTTGTTGTCTTTTTTTTTTTAAACATGAAGATACTCGCTTCATTTTAGATCCTTCCCCTGCGATTATTCACACAGCTAAGACCCCGATATATATTTTTTTCTTAGAGAATAATGGAAAAAAAATACACAGGGGATTGACATTCCCCTCCAAAAAAATCCGAATGGGTGAAAATAAAAAAAAAAGGGAGGAAAAAAATAGGAAAGACACACACGTAAAAAAAAATATCTCACAAATCTTACCTATGGTCGACCGCGACTTCTCGAGCTCAGCGAGAATCTTATTATCCTGCTCGATTTTGGCCATAATGCGATCAATCTCCGTGGCTGCATTTTCGAGGTTGGCGGACCCCGTGAGCGGCGAGGCATTGGGGAAACCGCCCAGGCCACTTCCTACGCCAACACCGCCGCCCCCGCCGCCCACGCCCGAGGCCACCAAGGAGGAGGAGGTGTTGGTCGTGTACACGCCCGAGGACGAGAGCGAGTTGAGGGAGGTTAGGCCTGCGGGCGGGCGGCCACGCCGAACACAAAGCCAGTCAGGTTAGAGCTCGCTTTGACAACTCACTCATTACAAGCTAACAACCGGTTATTCCTTGGCTTAAGGGTTATTAAACTTATTTGTAAGCTAAGGTGCCACTGCACACATGATTCTACAAGCTAAATGGTTGATTACTCTTAGCTTTCTTGAAGAGATTTCTTAAAAGTTACGGTTACATTTGTCTCTATGACTGTTTTTGCGATTACTTTTTACTGCTCTTACTATAAAATAATTGCCCGCCTCTTCATTATACTATTTTTTGAGGGTAAAGTTACTATTTTCCAAAACATAACTTTTAGGCAAATGTTTTACTGAGTACCTGGGCAGAATTTTTTTCTCTCTCTCTCTTAAAACTTTTTAAAATGCTCTTTTGAAATCAAAAATGACTTTTATATTTACTTTATTTTATTTACTTTAGGGGGCAATGCAATTTCTCATGAAGAGACTGGAGTATGATTTAGCCCATATAATTACACACATACAACAGCTGGGAAGAAATACACAAGATATATACATATATATTGCAAATATACATATATATCTGTAGCACAACAAATCTAACTTAATTCTTTTTCTTAATCTTACAGAGTTACGCTTAGCCAAACACATGCGGAATCAAAATATCACCTCAATAAAATTCACACCAAAGAAAAATAAAGGTTAATAGTAATAATCATAATAATTATCAACAATTTTCATATTGCTCTTCTCTCGCTCTCTCTCTCTCAATTTTCTTTTTTTTTTTCAAGTCTTTTTTTTCTCGTAAATTGACCAGGGGGGGAGGGGAAGGGGAGGGTCTTCTTTTCTTCCTTTTAATTAATTATATCTATTTTTCTCTATTTCCTCTATCTACTGACATCGTGACATCAAAGTGGACTAACTGTTGGCAAAGGTGGAAGACAGGACCGTATCTATATATATATTTTTTTTTTAATCAGTATTATCATTATCATTATTTTCTCGCTTACCACAACACTGAAATTATTATTATTAAATATTATCGTCTCTATGACAATAAGGACCGTTTTCTTACACACATATATATTTTTTTTAAACCAGAGATTCGATTCTTTTTTTATTTTGTAGAATATATATATAATCATCATTAAACGAAGGGAAAAATATGTCAAATTGAACACCACCTAATGATAAAATGTTCTCGACCTGTACAGAGCGATTCCACCGTTTGATAGAAAATGTGACAAAAAAGAAGGATTCTTATGGCGGGGAATCGTTACACTTCATAAATATCAACGATGGTCAAAATAATAATAATAATAAAGTGCATCCACATTGATAAAAAAGATGGGGGGAAGGGGAGGGAGGGGGGGGGGCAATTCAGCACAATATTTCTATTCTAGTGATTGAATTGATCAATAAAATTCTTGTGAAAAAGCATTCGTTACACACATACGCATACACACAGAGATACATATATATGTACGTAAGTATTTGTACTAACGTAAAAAATAAGGAGTCTACATAAACATCAACATCCGGATATGCCACAGACAAAACAGCAAAAACAACAACAATATACTTATAAAAGTAACTGGCATTGGGAAGTGGGTCTGCAACACCATGCAATGCACGAACCTTCGCAATTGCCAACTCTACTCAAAGAGTCAATACGTCTGCCTTTTTTTGTTTTGTTTTTTTGTATATTGTATTTTTTTATTCCTCTCTCTCTTTC